TTCCTACTAAAAATAACATTAAATCCATTTCAGTTATTAAAACACATGTGCCTGCCCATCCCATCACTTATGGTTCATGTTGATATATAGTATATTCTTTATGTAATAAAGGTACAAAAAAATAGAGGGTAAAAGATCTTGAGTGCTTTAAGCAATCCAAGGCTCCATCTAGGAATCACAGCTTCATGGCCAGTTTAAAGATCAATGTTTTTATATAAAACCAACTTGAGGAACTGCAAAGATGTAAGATTTTATTTGATAAAATAAACTATAACATTTTAGAATTATAAAATATTTTTATGCACTGATAAAAAGCAAATAAAAATACTTTTTAATGTTACCTCAACTCTAATAGGAGATATGAAAAATATATTTCAATAAGAAAATAACAGTAAGATAATTAGTAAAGCAAAAATATACATATTTGCTACTGTCAAAAATCAGGTCAAGAATGATCAACTCTTGAACCAAAAAAGAGATCCTTTTACTTTGGACATATCTACCTTATTTCTATAAATCTAATACAAAAAGATAATTTATTAACAGTAAATGTAAATTCATTATAACAAATAACTCAGGACACAAACCTGTTGCGAAAATCCACAGAAGAACTGGTACAAAAATTGTGGCAAAATGAAACAAAGGTTCTAGAAAAAAATTAAGAAAATGGTTAGTACTTTTACTTGATCAACATTATAAGTCAAATCGGGAAACTTTACTTCAACAGTCTACAGTCTTTCCTAAATCCTCCTAATGTCAAAATGCAACAGATTGCTATTCCAGAGACATAACAACTCAAAAACAATTGATGAATTCATTTCATAGTAAAACCAACTTTTATCCTGCCAAGGCAGAAGAGGATCTTGCTTTATGAGAACCTCTTGGTACTATTCTTCCAGTGAAGAAATGAGCATATCCAATATAATCGCCTAACGACACTGTATCTTAAATATCAGTTACATTTGCAAAGTCATCATAAGAGAGATTGACAATGCTGTAAGTGTATATGCCACAATCAGAAAACTAGTACAGATTATGTTGATACTAAGAGTATCAATTAAAGCTTCATTGCTTTTATTACTGCCTCAACCAGCTGATATATTAGTATTGAGCACCTAATATATGCAAAGGTGGCACTATAGGTGATAACCAAAAAAAATAAAAAAGCCAATTTCTTTCTCCCAAGGGACTTACTGTTTAATTAAAAAAATACTGAAAATAAGCAGATTAAAAATTACATGTTGTAAATTCATAAGGTATAAAACCCACTAAGTGTGACACTGAAATTAATGTTTTTAGGCAAAAGTATCAGAACTAGTATATTCAAATGAGTGCTATCCTTCAAAGTAGGCTGTGAGCTTATTTGAAAGCTGCTGTTACTTGTTCATGTCTCTAGACTTCTTCCTGGGAACACCCTTCAAGATCCACTTTTTTTTTTTTCCACTATGTTGCCTTTAGTAGAGTGCCATGGCGTCACAGCTCACAGCAACTTCAAACTGTTGGGCTTAAGAAATGCTTTTGCCTCAGCCTCTCAAGTAGCTGGGACTACAGGCACCTGCCACAATGCCCGGCTATCTTTTGGTTGTAGTTGTCATTGTTGTTTGGCAAGCCTAGACTGGATTTGAACCCACCAGCTCTGGTATATGTGGCTGGCACCCTTAGCCACTGAGCTACAGGCGCTGAGCCTCAAGAGCCACTTTTGAGTTATGTCAGAAAACCAGTTTCTTCTCTTTTGTCACACATTTTCACTTAGCTAATTCACCAGATTCAAGCTCTGGGAGACTTGAATCTGTTTTTAGAAATGAAATGTGGTTAGCTGGGCATGGTGGCTCACACCTATAGCCCCTAATACTCTGGGAGGCTGAGGTGGGTGGATCACCTTAGCTCAGGAGTTTGAGACCAGGCTGAGCAAGAGTCTAGAGACCCTGTCTCAAAAAAAAAAAAAAATAGCTGGGGGCAGCGCCTGTGGCTCAAAAGGGTAGGGCACCAGTCCCATATGCCGGAGGTGGTGGGTTCAAACCCAGCCCCAGTCAAAAACTGCAAAAACAAAAAACAAAAAAAAAAAACCACAAAACTGGGTGGGTGTTGTAGCAGGTGCCAGTAGTCCCAGCTATTCAGCAGGCTGAGGCAGGAGGGTCATTTGAGCCCACGAGTTTGAGGTTGCGGTGAGCTATATATACCAAGGCACTCTACCCAGGGTGACAAAGTGAGACTGTCTCAAAAAAAAAAAAAAAGAAAGACAAAAGAAAAAAAATTAAATACAGCCTCAAAGGATGGACAGTTGACATGGCTGAGGATATTTAGATGGATATACTACAGGCTCTGGAGGATGTTCCTAAAAAAGGGTGCTCTATAAGTTTTTGAATCACCCCTGCAACATGAGAATAAATGTTAGAGCTCCAAAAGTTATTACCTGGAAGAACAGCACTCATTCATATGTATTGGTTCTGGTACAATGCAAAACATTGTCCACAGCATTTCTAGAATAGTATTTTATGAAAAAAAAATAGGTGTTCTCAGGTTGGAGAAAGCAGAGCTCAGTGGGGATCATGGTCTAACTTCATGAAAAGTGGGGTGTCTGCCTCCTCCACTGGAACGTAAGATCCTTAACAATAGGAATACTGCCTACTCAGTACCTAAAACAGTACTAGCACATGGTAACAGATTCAAAACAAACTTGTTGAGTTCTGAATAAAGTCAGAACTTGAACAGTGATTGTCTGCAGCACACTGGTGTGCTATGAGAGGATCTTAGGTGAGCTGTGAAAAGTTTTAAAGATCATTAATTAAACTGTTTTCAAAAGAAGTTCAAAGCACAGTAAGTATATTCTTTTTTTACTCTTTTTTCATCAACATAATTTAAGCATGCCACGAAGTTTAACTATAGGTTTAAGTGTGCGGGGTGGCACCTGTGGCTCAAGGAGTAGGGCACCGGCCCCAAATACTGACAGTGGCAGGTTCAAGCCCAGCCCACCCAAAACTACACACACAAAAAAAGTGTGCCATGAGATGAAAAAGGATGAAAAACACTGAGCTAGATCTTAAAGATGAATAAGATATGTCGATAGGAGGAACCAAAGCAATGTGGTATATATTTTAAACATGTATAGTAAGACAGGGTCAAAATGTGGGGTGCCTTAAAAGCTACACTAATCTTAGCATGACAGAGTGAAGTTTCTAAGGGACAAGTTGAAAAGTAGCATTCTCTAAACATTAACCTGCTTGAATCATGCAAGAAGGATTAAGTGGAGAATCAAAAGGCAGGAAGACCTGTCACTCAAGTATTCCAGAAGGGAGGCAATAATAATTTGAAGATGCAATGACAAGAAAGGAGGAAGGAAAGACTTCTTAGCTCAGCCAATGAGGGCCGAACATATTAAAAATGCTCTTGGCACAAAAGATACCAATAAACAAGAAATAGTGCAGATTCAGTAACCAAGATTATACTGGGCATAGAGATAATTACAAAGATAGAGGACATGATCTACCTAAATAATACCCTATACTAAGAACAGAGTTATGTCAATTTTGGATTACTGATCCACATTTGTCATTTTAATAATTATTTTGCTCTCCTAACAGAGCATTCCTGCCATCTGGTGGCAGCTGAGTGAATTGCAGGCCAAAATCCAAAAGAGGCAAACCAACCTTCCGGGAACAGGATCAGACTGTTGGGCAAATTTGTATGGCAAATCTTCATGAGATCTACTAGGGGGAGGTTAACAGAGAATAACCATTTATTCCTAGGTGGGGCTTTTACTTACACAGTTCAAGGAATAGTAGAGCCTAAATATGATAAAGAAAGAGTCCTGGTGAGCCTATGGTAGAAATCTAGCTCTGCTACCTCAGTAGCTAGAGAGTCAAAGGCAAGTTAAATCTCTCTGAGCCCTACTTTCCACATATTTTAAATGGAAATACTACTACTTGCTTCATAAGAAATTTATAAAGATTAAATAAGAAAATAAAGGGATTTTGTCAACTAGCAAAGTATCTTAAACATTGAATATGTTTAAGATAATCATGATATCTTCTAATATGATAATCATTATCATCTTCTCCTTCCTCAGAGTTTGGCCTGGCTACATGTTGATACTGGCTGGCAGGGTCTTAGCAAATCTATGAACCTGAGTTCACGGTTATATTTATTTTACAAAATATAAAACTAATATGAAAGACCTATAGTTGATTA